TAACAAAAAGGGTACTTCTTACCTTTATACTCATTCATGCAATCTTCATATTCATTTGGAGTCTCGAAATGGTCTTTTATATCTTCCAGGCAAAATTTGAAGCGGCCGGCAAATTATTATCCGATATATCCATGGAGTTAGTATCAGCACCGTATCAAAGACAGTTCCCTGGGACGCTTTAATTCCACTGTATCTCACGTATTTTTATCATAACAGTCCTAACGTCTTGAGATTGAAAACTGCGTGTCAGACACGAATGCAGTCAAGAACGAATGCATGGTGCCTTGGTGAAGTTTAGCATTTATACCAAGCGCGCCTAGAATCCAGTATTGTATTGGTTACGTAAGAACATTATGCCAACATACTTTTCGCAGTCCAATTCTGTACAATTCCTTTAAATGCATTTTACAGTTACGCAATAAGACAAAGCGTGTGTCTTTGTATGAAACAAAGTCGCTCCATTCGTGCAAAATAATGGAGCGCTAGGACAATAGGGGGACGTCACGGGTGGAGTTTAAGTCGGATAATGCCGCTCGGTACCGCGCCATTCGTGGGTAAGAATGGCCCGAGGGCGAAGCCCGAGGGCCATTCTTACCCACGAATGGCGCGTACCTCGGGCATTATCCTTTACTTAGATCACTGTAGTCTGCGTACACTACAAATATGCACCCCTGTAGTTGGAACATATGTGATAGCATTGAAACGGTGGCAGCTTTTGAGTGCTGTCACCTTTTTTCTTTAAAATGGCGATCTAAACTTGCTTGTTACCACATGTAATGAATCCGGTAACAAGCACATTAGCGGCCGTTTTTGAAAAAAAATAAATAAAGTGAAAACACCCAAAAAAACTGCAACCGCTCACACTGCAAAGCTATTACACATTTTCCAACTTTAGACGTGCATACCTTGCAAAAAAACGCTATGAGCAATGCTCTTTTCGATCATTTGAAACCGTAATTTTTGGGCCGAAGCTAATAGCATACCTCAAATTTGGAGCTCCAAACCTGTTCAATTTGTTATTTTGAGCTTAATATATAACATACTGAATATAAACTCAAAATGTCAGATCTATACTCTCATAATTCCAAAGAGAGAATAAAGACTCTTTTCCAATGAAAATTCACTACAGGCCAGCGACACGAGGAATACAGTTGCAAAAAACAAGTTTTTGTCACGAGTATTCTCCCATGTCATGGTTTGATAACCACTAACTTGTACCGACAATTTCTATTGAACCCTTTCCATTCCGCTGGTCCATGGCGAATGGCCCCACAGGCATTACCAATCACGCATGAAGTCGGCGTTTACAAGTGCGGGATGCAAAATGGTGAAATTACTAGACGTTGACAGTTCGCTATGAGTCATAAGTATACTGAAAGGTGCATGTAGCCTAAATTGTTTTCGGTGGAAATTCGCTGGAAGAAAACGTGCACAAAGTTAATGAGGTGGAAATGGTAAAAGATGCCCTGTGAAATTATTCCGCCGGAAATGGCATCGTTCGGAAAATATCAATCATCCAGATTGACTTTAGTAAGGATGCCTGCTGGTAAACTTGATGTTTTGCCGCCCTCTTTTGGTGACGTTGCTTCATAAATGGTTAAAACCGTAACAAACAAATAATTTAAACTATAACTTCGACAGTTGACAATGCAACTTTTCCGGGAAGTTGTTTTTATGGAAAGTTGAAATTGAAACCGACATCGGGTCGGGTCGGGTCGGTTTGTCCATCTTTTCAGTCGAGTCGGGTCGGTTTCGGCTTTGCATTTTCATTTATGGATCGAGTCGGGTCGTTGTAGCCATCTTTTGAAAAACCCGAAATAAACCGAAATAAACCGAAACAGTTCAGAAATTTAGGTGATGCATTATTATTGACAGTCACTGTGACCGCAGCCCTAGTAGTGTGGTGTGGCCACCGAGCGCACTATCAAGTTCTCACGGTATCAATTTCTTAGTCCAATGGGACTGACAGTGAATAGATACATTGTAACAGTTTTCATGATACCGCGTGATGATACCATGCGTTTGTTCAGTAAGCAGAGTTACTCTCGATCAACCCACTGAGTATGACATAAAGAGACGATGGTTTTGCAAAAGAATTCATGCCACGTGGGTAAGGGCAGGCATACAAAAAAGTGATCACTTTGTCAAAGCAAGGTATTCGTTTTTTACGGTTTTTATTCAGTCGGGTCGGTTCGGGTCGGGTTTTACCTTATTTTTTGTCGGGTCGGATCGGGTCGGTTTGAGGGAGTTAAGATCGGTTTCGGTTCGGCTTTGGTTTATATCTCTAATGTTTCGAGTCGGTTTGGCCTGGTCAACCCGACCCAATGCACATCATTAATCTGCACTATAGGAGTTGGTCTAAGTGTTTCCCACGTCTGAAGTTGATCAGATTCATGCAAGTCAATCATATTTATGAGGAAAAACGTGTATAAAGCCTATGGAGAAAAGATTGTGTACAAAGCCTATGGAGAAAAGAACGTTACAACCCCTTGGGAGACAAGAACGCGTTTGAACCTTATTGAGAAAAAGACGTGTACAAACCCAGTTGAGAAAACACGCACCCACAACTTGCACGTATACTGCAATAATTTGCAGTGTTTTGTATGTAGCGCTTTTCAGAACTAGGATGTGAAAGCTCATTTAATAAGCTTTCTTTTAGTAAAAAAACTTCAAATCACATATTTACTTGTTCATTTATGGAATTGTTAACACAACACAGTTTTAAAGTTTGTCCACGATCACATTTAAGGTACGAGATGTTTCAGTAAAATTAAACCATGTCGTATCATAAAAACGATATCAGAATAATCCCATAAGTCTTTGGGGTAGCTAAGTAGAAGGCAGGGCAAGAATATAAACTCTGGACATCAACAAGCATTATGTTTTAACATTGGAAACAGAAGGTGTTTAAATACAGGTTATGATAAGTGCCAGTTATCATGCTTATAAGAGTGTTTTGATGTGTGTTTTTTTGTATGTGTGCAGTGTCTTTGTTTTGCTGAAATATCACTTACCTTTTTTTTGTGATCCGTGGACAAAATTATAAAACTATGTTTGTGTTTAAACGTCCATAACTGGAAATGTACTTGAGCAATTTGAATGATTATTTTACCAAAATAAAAGCTTAATAATGGGGTTTTTACATCCTTTTACTTCTTCATAAAGTAGGGGGCGCCATTCGGGTTGTCTGTTGTTTTTGACTCAACCTGTATGTGTTACAAAAAATATATATAAAAAAGTCATGACTTCATGGCGACGAAACATTTTTTTCCTAATCTATATCACTTCCTGGTATGTGTACATACAAAGTGAAAACTCAATCGGCCTTATGGCCGTTGAAAAATTAACCTTTAAGATGGCGTCACGTGACCTCCAAAGACGTTATCATGACGTCTGAGCAATATGCACGAGTTAAGTATTGGGTATTAGTCTGTGCACAGTTTCATTAAAATGTCAACTTGGATACGTGGCACAAGACGCACACACTCCAAACTTTCAATTCGGGCAATTTAAAATGCAGTGCGCCACCAAGAGTTATAGCCACGGAGAGTTCATTTTTCCAAGTGCATTGTGGGAGATGGTCCACCGCCAGACATAGGAAATTGTTCGTTTTTCCGGTCAATAGTTACGTAAGCGTATGATTCGAGTATCTGTTTGTCCTTTCTTTTCTTTTCATCAACATGGTAGGTTTTTTTTGTAAGGCGGCAGAACGCTTTGCCCCAATCTATATTAGCTCAAGTTGTCCACTGACACTCATTTTAGGTCATGTTTTGTAGACCGTAAACTTGAAAAATGGACTCTCCATGGCAAACTCTTGGTGGCGTACTGCATTGTGAATTGCCCGAATTCCCTGAGTTTCCCCTGAGTTTCCCGACTGGAGAATGGAAACTAATTTTCAAGGTTTTCCCTGATTTCCAGAGTGGCTTAAAAGCCTGTTGATCATTAACTTCTTCAGAATTTAGTGTCTATAAGCTATATCCAAAGTTGCCAGAATTTTTGATATTTTGCTGTGGTAAGATTTCCGTTTTCGGTGAGCCGTCGTTGTTTCAATATACGACATTAACATTTATTAACAAATGAATTAGCAAATGTTTGGGTTCACAAGAATTGAGCAGAAAGTTTCATAGGTGTGCAGGCCAATAAATCGGTACGAAATTGCCTACACTGGCCAAATCACAATTTGCATGCCCTCAAATTCATCGCCTTAGACTTGTGCACAAAACTTTAAAACTAAAATGTGCAAATATAACCTAATTGCGGCAGTAAAATTGTGCCTCTGTCTCCCTAATGACCGATGTCTTCCATCGTGCGAAGAAATTACGAGAACGTGTCTCCTTAGTGGTACCCTTACACGTATAATAATAATTATTATTATCTGGATTGCATGGTAGTGCGACACTTCCAAAGAAACGTGCACAAAGTTTTCCAAACTTTAATGTGACCTAACCCAATTTTATCTTATCCGATCCCAACCAAGTTTGGTGTGTGTACGTTTTGGACCACGAGCAATCGATGTAGCTCATTTGCGACGGTAAAATTCCTTCGCTAAAGGGTAGTTACCTCAATAGGGCGACACCAAAATTGTCGCCCTAGTGCGATGTGTTGCCCTAATGTAGGGGCAGTCCCCCACAACTTGTCGCCCTATTGCGGATTCATGCTAATTATGGGAATGGGTCATTAGGGAAACTTTCCACAGACTTAGTGCAATCTTTTTTTTTCAACTTAAATGTAACCTAATCCAATATTCCTTTGTCCTTTTCCCACGAATTTCGTTTTTTTTTTAATAATTGGACCACGCGCAACTAATATAACTTAATTGCGACAGAAAAACAAAATGTTGCCTTTGAAGGGGGCTGTGCCATTAGGGAGACAGTTATGTGTCTCCCTAATGACCGGTGTCTCCCTATTATCGAAGAAATTACGATAAGATGTCTGCCTAATGGTACATTTATTTATAAATATATTTGTAATAATATTTATCATTTCAATTCCTCGCACAGATATACACATAAACCCATAACAGGTTGCAAGTGATTGAACCATGGATTGGATCCGGTTGATTTTGCTACTTCTACTTTATGTACGTTACACTCAGTCGACGACGTCACATGGTAGGAACATATTTGATACCCCCACTATTCCACAAAGCAAAAAGAGATAATGGACGTATGTTTATGGTGTAAATAGAGGATAAACAAAGAACCGAAAAAGAGAAACAATAGAACATCCTTGATTTACAACTTAAACAAACGTGCGTGTTTAGGCTATAAATGTGTTTTTTTTCTGAAATGATTGGTCAATATTTTGTATGCGAGCATACCTTGTCTCAATTGATTTCAGGTACTGGTAATTTGATTGACGGTTTAAAGAAACCATTAATTGTATGTGGTGCCGATGGCATAAGACTAAAAGTGAAATAGAATGGTCATTGTTTAAAATCGCCCTTTTAAAGCGAAAAAGAAGTCTTGTAAACAAGTCTGAGTGAACATAAACGAAAGGTGCTGCTCAATCACTTAATTGATCGAACTGAATCGAATCGCATGCTCTGGTAGCAAAAATGAAACGCGTGTTCATCAGAGCGGTTCTCAAATTCACACGAAAATGAATGACCGATTTCCAGAAGGGAATGAACATTTGAGGAAATTGGCCGAGAAAACTTGTAGTAAACATTTTTTTTTTCATTACCTGCCAATTTCTTTCAAGGCAACCAAGGATTTAACTGTTCCTTTGAGGACGGTTTTTGCAGCTGGACCCAGCGTGAGGGTGACGGACCTAACTGGCTACTGGGAGCAGGCAGCACTGCTGTGTCACGCGTGACGGGGCCTGGTGCTGATCGTTTTGGAAGTATGTGTTATCTAGTGTACCAGATTAATGTCTAATTTGGGGACTCAATAACATGTATGCGGATTGATATTGCAGTGTGGGATGACGCAATTCCAAGTGAATGCAATAAATGACCATTTCAAGATGGAATCTCCCAGTTTGACATTCAACATCATATTTGGGGTGCTGTGGTCCAATGGTTACGGTGTTCGACTCGTCTGCCGTGGTACATGGGTTCGAATCCTGACCGTGAGAACATAGCACTTGTGCTCTTGAGCAAGGCACTTTATCATTATTGTTTTAAATTTGTCCTTCGGATGGGATGTTAAGCCGTAGGTCCCGTGTATTGTGTAATGCGCGTTTAAAGAACCCAGTAACACTTATCACTAATAGAGAAGGGGTTTGCCCCGGTGTTTATAGGCAGTGGCTGCTTAATGCACCGCAGCACCTTGCAAACCCTTTTAAAGGTGTAACAAAATGGGTCTCATATTTCTCATGTACTCCATTCACTTTTCTTTAACAATAGACATAATTTCCAGCGCCTTGAGTACTTAATTGTTGGTAGATATATGTGCTTTATTAGACTCCGGTATTATTATTATTATTATTATTATTTCCCTTGTAACCCACGCTACATACACGACAGTAAGCTTTGAAGTGAATGTCATTATCACATCCACAATATGTATCATCAAAATAACTTGTATCAAGACACCAAAGGAATTGTATTTTCTTCCGTACAATGAGAGCAGATTCAGTGAAAATTCTTTTCCTGTAACAAAAACATTGCTTGTTTGCATTTTGAGCGAAATGCTATAAATAGTCGGGTGCGTGGAAGAAGGTCGTTAGGGCAAAACATGGGTCAAAAGGTCAAATTCGGAATTTTCAGGTATTCAATAGAGCATGGACATATCTTCAATTTGATATACATTTTGTCTCAGGGGCTACGTCATTCTGACGTAATTAACAGTATGAGAAAGACGGAAGTAGGTTTTTCATTTTTTTTCCCCGGCAAAAGGACGTGAGCGTGTATTGCTGATGGCTAGCATTGTGTGAGCCTCACATGGAATTTGACAATACTTAATCAGAACTTGTGTTTCCTCTTCTTCTAACGATCTGAAATGTTCGAGTGTTTTGTTTTCATCCTGTTAATACTTACGGCACTGGGAGGTATGTTTACTGTAAGCCCTCGAGCCGCGAGGACATGCCCATAATTGACAGTCATGTGTTGGACGTTAAGGAGGAGGATGGCGAAGACTTTTGCTTTAGTTCTGGTGTAACGTGTGCGGACAAAACGTGTACTCGTTATCATGTTCGTTTATTCAAACGAACTTATATTTTTGGGTGGTTTAATTACTTTTCATTCTGCTATAGATGAAACTGGAATGTTCCTTTACTGTGCTGTATCTGGGGACGACACGCCCATAATTGACAGTCCTGTGGTGGAAGTTAACGAAGAGGATGGTGTGGACCTTTGCCTTAGTTTCTGGTACAGCATGTACGGGCGATACATAGGTATTATACAAATCATCTTCGTTGATTCCATTTTGTTGGGGCACCACATGTCTGGTCACTGTTTCAAATAGAATGCCTTTTTTTTTTTGCAATAGCCAAATTCTTTACCTTCGACGCACAAAGGGGAGTCAGGCCTTCAGGATAAGTTTTTTTTTTCAATCCAACGCGAGTCTCCAGATGGGACGAGTTTCTCAAAAAGAGGATGAATTAGGAAGCTACATTCGTGAATTCCACTGCACCAAATATCAAATTTATTAATGTAAATACGAAATCAGAATTGACAATGGAACCCAACACGTTTTCTGGAACGAAACGAAAGTGTCTTTTCATGGAACCTAGAAAACCTATATTAATTACAAAAACAAAATGAACATCAATTATTTTTACCATTTTTTTAAAAGGCGGGCTGGAAGTGTACACTTATACCGCCACTAACGCCACCAACGGCACCGTGAAAGTTTTCAGCGCGAGAGGGCCGCAGACAGGAAGGAGGGGATGGCTTCATGGGCTGGTCGACATCAGAGATGTCACCTCTGATATGAGACTTTACTTCCAAGGGCTTAGCGGTGTAAATAGAGCGATTGTAGCGATCGATGATATAAATCTACAGACGGGCGTGTGTGAAAGTAAGTATTTATCTTATATACGTTGATATTAAAGTGGTTTCTTCAGAATTACAATATATGACGGTTGTGGAAGATATTGTTTTAATTCATGTATTGTTGTACTTTTGTAATATTAGAGTAATATTATATTACAAAATGATCTCCAATTGCACATTAAGAAGAGAATTGTTTTAATCGGGGTGGCTGTAATAAAAAAATTAAACTGAATTAAACTGAAATATAAAAATATATATATCTGTGGAAAGGGGATATTGGATCTTCTGTCAGACAACATAATTAGTATGAAACCATGTCCACTGAAAAAAACCCACGTAGGATCAACGTTAATGAAGAAAATAGCATAGCAATAGTTTCCAGCAAATCACATGCCCCAAGTGCATGAGCCTAGTTTCACCTCATCAATGTTTGTTTTATTTTGCGGTTGTCAGATTAACAAATTTGCGTAGTGGACATTCTATGCCCTCAAATGTGTATCCATATACCTTTTGGTCGTTTGCAGCCGCGTATGATTACCATTCTTCAAGACTGAATGTACATGTATTGGAATATTATTTGTTGTATTATCCAAATTGGAGATTTTAAACAAGAATTATCGCTGGTATACTGAAAGTTAACAGAGTGGGGTCCGCCCGATAGATTGTCAAAAGGTTCGATAGTCCGAAGGATTTTTAGCCCGAAGGTTCGATAGTCCGAATGCACAAAATCTCCATAAGAGGGGGTTCGTTAGTCCGAATATGAAATAAGGTTCGTTAATTCGAACATTTGAATTAATAGTCCGAAGGTTCATTAGTCCGAAGGCTCATTAGTCCGAAGGCTCATTAGTCCGTAGGTTTATTATTCCGTATTGAAAATAAGGTCTAATAGTCCGAATGGACAATAAGGTCGGATAGTCCGAATCGACAATTGGGTCCGATAGTCCGAATCGCCAATAAGGTCCTATTATCAATTCGACTATTGAACCTTATTGTCCATTCGGACTATCGAACCTTATCGTCGATTCGGAATATCGAACCGTATTGTCGATTAGGACTATCGAACCCTATCGTCTATTCGGACTGTCGAACCTTCGTGGCTATATAACCTTCTTCTGTTTTCGGACTACTGGGACCTTCGGACTATCGAACCTTCGGACTATCGAACTATCGGGCTGTAACCGTTGGAGTAACGCGGCATGACGAAAAAAAGGTCAATTCTGGAACAGGTTTACAATCCCTATGAACCCTTAAGTGATCGATGTTGGTTGAGAGTCTATGGATAACACTATTTCAATTGTACACAGGGGACACAAGCTTTAACTGCAATTTTGAGGAGGGATCACTTTGTGGATGGGTGAAGCCGCCCACGGGCTCCGATGACACCGACTGGTTATTGCAGCGTGGAGCTACTTACACACCCAAAACCGGTCCTATTGTCGATCATACCACAGGGAGTACGTACGTTCTATATACTGTCACAATGCTATACATTCATTCTGGAAAATTTACTTGAAACAGTTTTGTTTTCGAATCGAGAGCCAAATGAGACTTAAATAATTTACATGGTGGACATGAACTATAAATGGAAGATATGCGGCAACACCCGATACAAATGTTTTGAACAGTGTACTCTGTCCGCAATCAGGAGACTGCCAGTATCTTGCTGTCGTAGTGTATATACCCATTCCCGGAGCTGCCCCTTTAATCTACCAATATCATAGTATTGCATGGAATTTTTTAATGACACAATGTTTTTTGAGCCACCCGGCCCTCAAACCCAGACCATTCACCCTGGCATTCTTCAGACCCCAAGCATCTATTAAAACCACAGACTTGCCCTGTGAATGCCATTTGACTGTTCCATTTTGGTCAGCAGTGGTATCCTATGTGTATACAATTGTATACAAGCCTATGTAAATGTGCACAATCGAGCACACTCGGTCTTCCCGCCTATTTTTAACCCCTCCATAGGGTCACCAGACTGAACCCCCCCCCCCCCCCCCCCCGCCCGGTGGAAGTACCATGGTCCATATACTAGCATCTAGTGAGATGACCCCGGGCATGGTTACCACGTGGCTGGGACACAACATAGAAATGTGACCAATATTAGTTCCATGCTCGCTTCATGTAAGCGGGAGACTGAATTCAGCGTTACAGGGATTAGATCAGTGGACTGTTTAGGCGGTGGGTTCTCAATAGTTCTGCCTACATAGGAATGAGGACCCCCTTGGTACTCTGCATACCTTGATGTTCTTTCCAACTGTGTCAAGATCCTTCTGACATAATACTTTAGTGAGTACACACAGTCCGCTTCAGCACCTACCCGGCAATTAAGCATCCTGTTCCAGAATCTTCCGCGTTAACACTGCACTGATGAACTAATCCCCCTGATGCTGAATCCAGCTTGCACTACTTGGACAACTACACCAGAATGTCTTCTGATGACAAACAGAGCACACTGTTCGAAACATCGAGATCAGTGGCGCACCCAGGATTTGTTTTTTAGAAGTAATTTTTTTTCAAAAATTGTGCCCAACATTTTGGGCCGCAGAAAAAAAATGGTGTGTTTTTTGGGTGGGGACGGATTTTTTTGACATTGGTGGCGCCACTTACATCCCTATTATACTACTCGAAAATAGGCCACATACATATCACCAAAATTAAAGCGTGGAACCAAAACAAGAAATTACCTAAAAAATAAAAACAAATAATGACAACCTCTTGGGCCCCCCAGGCCCCCCTTGGGTGCGCCACTGATCGAGATTTAACAAACTGTATTTTCTCAGAACCACGCAACTCAACAGAGATATTATTCACATGGTGTTACCGCAAGCCTTTCATTCATTGAATCAAGTGCTATTTAAAATGAACTGTGGCAAAAGCATTCATTTAAGTCAAAAAATATTGAAATGAACCGCGAGAAATCTTTCCTTTGATTTGGTCTTGTGAATACATAGTGACGTGTGTTAAACCGTTCAACTAGCAATATAACTTTTGATTTGTTGGTTTCATCAAATGGAAGAAATTTAATTGTATTAATGCACTTGTTTTGCTTACTTCCGGTCTTTTTATTGCAGCAATTGAGGGATCTTACTTGTATATACGAGCGAGTTGGTTATCTGCAGTAGAAGTTGCCATATTGGAAAGTCCTATGGTTACTCCGCTGGTTAATGAGAATTTCAATCTCACTTTCTGGTACAACATGTATGGGGAAGGAACAGGTATTGAGATGGAATAGGGATTTTGGGGTAATGATATGCTATAACGACGCTTTTTGTTTGTGGGATATAAACAGACTAAACTACAATGAGCAACTTCGGTTTGGTAGTCCAGGCCACAGCATGTATGTTCCATGAACAGAACAAAGTGCTTTTCCGTATTTTTGTTTGTCCATTTGTATGGGTGTTTTTTACTTGTAGAAATTTATGTGAAGTCTAGTCATGTATAAATGATCAGAACAAACAAAGTTCCATAACAGATTGACATTGTGTCCTTTCATAAATGAAAAATTTATAACATCGTAATGACGTCACACATTTTGTTGACAATTTTGTGCTGATGATCATGACCTACCTTACATGTTACAAAGCGAATTAAGATATTAGCATGATTTGTTGGTTAGATACAGAAAAGAATGCACATACATTGCTGAACATATTAAACAATTCAAAAATCCAGATGAAATAGTAGGCTGACGTCATCATGGCGTAACGTCAATCGTGACCAAGAACACAAGCCTGCGAATGTACGCATACTAAGTTTCAACCTGATCAGCCTTGTAGTTATCTAGATTTGGTACTTTCAAATGGACCTTGAAGATGACGTCACTTGACCCATGATTACGTCACTGTGACGTCACTTATCAATGCACACATTTGGTATGCCGTCTTTGTGTTTGATAAGTTTGGAGTTGATCCGATTAAAGACAATGTCAAATTTTATAAGTGAAACAACATTTTAAAAGTTAAAAAAATTCTAAAATATCAGCTGACGATGTCATTGTGACGTGATTTTGTAATTTGCATACTGATAACACTGTCTACCTACCAAACCAGTTTAATGACAATTTGACCTTCCCTTTTTGTGTAAAAAGAACAACCCCCCCCCCAAAAAAAAATACAAAAATAAAAGAAATTGATGATGTCATGATGGCGTCACACAATTTCCCAAATTTTGTGCATATATCTTTTGCCTAACAAACCTAATAAAAATAATTTTGAGTTTTAGCATGTTCTGTTCGTGAGCATGTTCTGTTCGTTCTGTATGCTTGAAGGTTCAAAAATTTAACAAGCCATAATAAGTAACACGCTGACGTCATCATAACGTCACCGCATTTTTTTATTATCTATAACACGTCTATATACACTATGAACATCTTCACCCCTTAAGAATTCGTTAAAGAGCCATTTTCCCTTGAAATTACAGTAAACTAAATTTTCACGGTTTTTTCAACATACTACGCAAGATTAGGAGTCCGTGAAAAAAACCCTTAAGAAAGTCCTTTGTTTACCCATGGAGATAGACCCAGTGTACCGTTACGTATAACTAATGATAATCCTCAGTGGCCAGGGTTATTAAAAATCCGTGAAAATACCCTTACAGGATTAGTCCTATATAAGCCCCATGTAAATGTCCGTGAAACATCACTTAAATATTCTTTTCACGGAAATATGGACCTTTATAAATGAAATTGAAGGGATAAGATGTTCATAGTATACAAACATTCAACCCAATCTGATTTATAGTTCTCTAGATACAGGTCATTGAATAATGCGCCTTTAAGATGACGCCACACGACCCACAATGACGTCACGATGACGTCACTCTTCTATATGGGTCTTAGTTATGAGGTATTTGTCTATATTAGGTTTAGTTGTGATGTGACTGTATATGTCTAAAGTGCCGGCAGGCACTTTACAGGTTCAAAGTCTATGGGATTTTAGGTGGAACAAAGAAAAAATGAAGTAAGACACACAAAAACAAGTAACGAAAACAAGAAGTAACGAAAACAAGAGCTGTTTCGGCGGACTTCCTAAACAGACAAAAACAAAATGGCATCGCAACAGGGCCTCGATTCGGCCTTAAAAATATAGCCTACTGCCTACATATTTTGGTTTAGATTGAATTTGAAAGTTAACTGTTGGAGGATGAAACCCAAAAGTTATCAGTAACATCGCTGATATAATCAATAGGCTTTTAACTCTTTATGCTTTTGTCAACTACATGTCTATATATTATCACTGTCGTATTTGGGATTTGTAGGGCCAGTTGTTGTCGGCAGTCATTTTTGTTTAACCCAACTTCGTGGTTTTTTTTCTAATTTGAACTGTTTCATATAATTTTATCTGAAGATTTTTCTCAGAATTTGGAGCGACAGTGTCGGTTCAGTTTTAGAGAACCGTCGTTCAACTTCAGAATGATCCAAATTAGATTTCTTTATGTGAAAGTTATCAGGCCCGTTATTTTTAAATTTTGCTGAGGGCATAATTTATCGTTTTATATTCAAACACTAATTTGGTACAGTTGTTCTACGTGTATGTTATTCATTTAACATTTAATCAACATTTGACACTACATATATACTGTTAAAGGGCGCTGAACCTATTTTTTTAACGGATCTACATCATTAGCTGTTTTTCTCTCCTTTTTTTCCAGACTTTTCTCCATAGGGTTTGTACACGTTTTCTTTCCACTAGTACACTTTGGCTATTTTCTAAGGCATATATTTAAAGAACTTTAGGTTCCATTTAGTTGTAACTTGATATATACCTGTACTAAGATGTGTTATAGATACAAATTTAAGTGACGTCATTATGACGTCATCATATGTTTTGTGACGTCACCTTAAAGGGACACTTTTTTTCTACGTCCAAATGGGTTGTCTACCTGATATGTACCTATATCGGGAAGTGTTATACATGACAATTCAAGTGAAGTCATCCCATTTCATATGACGTCACATTAAATGGCATTTTTTCTAGTGCCCATATCTAAATCTATACGTTCGATTTGGTTGTAACTTGTACCTATGCCGGGATGTGTAGATGAACATTCAAGTGATGTCATCACATGTCATGTGACGTCACATTAAAGGGGCATTGTTTTCTCTAAGGCCTAGGCCTATATCAATAAATGGACGTTACGTCCGATATGGTTGTAACTGGTAGACTGGGATGTGTTATAGATGAAATTTGAAGTGACGTTATGATGTCGTCATCACTTGTCACAGAGTCATTTCCAACAGCCGAAACAGCTAGTGTTTGTCTAGAATACAATTTGTTGAACTTTTTTCTTATCTAAACCCTTTATTTTATTTCAATGTTTTTGTTTTTGTTTTTGTATTGCTACTAATGTTTTGAATCGGTTGCTATGGCAATCGTCGACATACCAAAGAAGCGGTTATGGTAACACATTAAAATCTTAGTCATAGTAATTTTATGATATTGTTATGCCGTTTGGTAAAAGCGCTCCAAAGAATACATTATGTGTCATAATAGGGTTAAATATTACTCAATATTCTATTGAATGTAATATAGAGTTACTATTGTTCGGCCTCTTATTTTTCTCACTGAAATTCTAGGTGGTCTGAATGTCTCAAAATTACCCGGTAATGAGCCCATCGTTGGTTGGGTTGGGCAGCAGACAGATGGTCCTATGTGGCTTAAGGCAGAGGTATTGTTAATGAACCAGACTTCAAGCTTCGGAATAAGAATTCAGGCGCACCGTGGTGGTAACTTTAGATCGGATATCGCAATCGATGACGTGGCAATAACTACTAACATAGGTTTGTGTTTGTTTAATTTCCTTGCCATGAGACTGTATTAAATTTGAACATATTTGTTTTTGAATGTTATTACAGATTTGCATTTTTGTTGTGGTCTGGATTCCAATTGCTGCAGCTCGGGTTTCAACGATATTTGTGTCGAACAGGCAGGCACCAGTTGTTGATGATCAACAATCAAGTTATCAGCAAGCATGAAATGAAGAGGACATTATTAACGTTATCAACCCCAGGTCACATTTGATCGTTTTGAAAAAAAGAAATCGTTACAATATGTGATAAATATCCTCAACAAATCCTCATTATAATGGTCGTGCTCCACTAGAGCTATCAGCTCCCTTTCATTAGTAATTTTGACTTAATTTATTGAAACCGTTTTTGTTGTTCGTCAGCTACTATTCCGTCACAACACCATTCATTAAGATATGCTAATTTGGGTTATGTCCGTCTCGAGCAAAGTGTGCCGTCTTCAATGCATGTGAAATTTATATTCACACACATTTAAAGCTATAGTCCATCATTTGCAGCCATCAGAAAAGTAACTGGCGTAATTCTTGCTGAAAAAAAACATACTTGGTTGAAAGATAGTAAGTGGTCTAAACTCCCTGTGAAGTTTTTCTTGCTGGCAAGCTGTCATTTTGAAGTAATCAACGAAAGAAGGCCTTTCCAACGGTGCGTCTTAAGACGTCTTAAGACGCACCGTAGGAAAATTTTAATTAGTAGTTCGTTTTGTTATTCGGCGAAGCGCAAGCAAGCATTGGCACGACGCACACGCGCGTGCGGTTCTATAATTCGTCGGATCAGTGCGCGGCATCGCGTATCCGGTTCGTTAGTAAAAACGTCATACACGCGCGCACACCACGGATTACTAGCGCCAATTGGCTGCAAACGCTCGAGCTGCGTTAACTTCCGGTTCCAAACGTGCAGAAAGTGCTGGAGGTGACGTCACACTAACGAACCGGATAGCTGCAACCGGCTCAGTGAGAACGTGTCTCGGACGCTGAATTCAGGCCCAATTCAAAACATGATTCAGCAACTTTTGATTTGAAATTGAGATCCTAGAATGCTGTTTTTCTCGGAATATACCGCTGAAGCTGAGCTGAAACTTCATCAGGTTAGTTTTTCAGTATCCTTCATTAGATTTTGAACACTGTTGTTGCTTCAAACGAACAAAATGCACAAATTACAAATGATGGACTATTGCTTTAAAGCTATAGTCCATCATTTGTAATTAGTGCATTTTGTTCGTTTGAAGCAACAAAGTGTTCAAAATTTAATGAAGGATACTGAACAACTTACTTGATGAAGTTTCAGCTCAGCTTCAGCTTCGTATTCCGAGAAAAACAGCATTCTAGGATCTCAATTTCAAATCAAAAGTTGCTAAATCATGTTTCGAATTGTTTTGAATTGCAGCTTTACGCGATGTTGCGCACTGATCCAACGAATTATAGCAACCGCGCCCTCCTGTGCGTCGTTCCAATGCTTGTGCGCGCTGCGCCGAATAACAAAACGAACAACTAATTTAAATTTTCCTACGGTGCTTCTTAAAATGCCTTCTTTTGTTGATTTCTTCAAAATGAGAGCTTACCAGAAAGGATAATTTCACAGGGAGTTTAATCCCCTTACTATCTTTCAACCAGTATGTTTTTCAACAATAATTACGCCGGTTACTATTTTGGATAGCTGCAAATGATGGACTCGGGCTTTAAACAAAATATTATTTATTATATTAGTTATCCCTCAAGCGCGAGTGGAACACGGAATAATGAAGTGCGCCTGTGTCCCTCATACCAAGAGGACGAAGGCGGTTGGAGTGTCGCTCGCATCTTGGAATAGCGCAATACGCAGGGTGCGACATGAACCGTGCACTACAGCCTCATATCACACTGTTGTTGCCATGGATCGACCAATCAGAATCGAGGATTCAAGTTTACTTGAAGATAATATAAGTTATCCCGCGAGTGCGAGTGGATGACGGAATGATGTAGTGCGTCTGTGTCCCACTACATTTTCCGTGTTCCACGAGCGCGAGCGTGATAAGGAATTTATCTTCACGCAAAGTTGACGCGCAGTACAGTTGGAACGAGCACACTTTACACGAACATTTCAGCGGTGTAGTGCATGCAGCTGGAATGTCGCTCGAATCTTGAAATAGCGCAATACGCAGGGTGCAATTTGAACCGTGCAATACAGCCTCATATCACACTGCTGTTGTCATGGATCGACCAATCAGGATGGAGGATTCAAGTTTGCATGAAGACAATTATTTATCAGGCTTCTAGTGGTAAAAATAAATCAGCGTATTGAAGGCTTTGTAAAGAGTACCCGGATGATATATCAAATATAATTGAAATCATCCGGGTACTTTATTGATATAGCATTGATATTGTAGTCATCCGGGCATTTGTTATAACTCGTGCAATATATTCTTGTATCCCTCTCAAAGCCATTCAATATTATATAATTACTTATAACACAAAAGGAAATCGTACATTGACGCAGTGTTACACAATTATGTATTTAATTACAATGATGATAGTACTAACGTGAGGATAAACGGTGCAGCCAATACTTTGAAATTTTGTCATCTTCGACACACACAAAACCTGAAACAAAAACCAAGCACTACGACATACATGACAACGAGACTGTAGAAGACCATCAACATAAACATTTAAAAGGACTATTTAACGTTTGTTCAAAACGTTCAATGACATCAACCAAACTTAGAGTTTGATCATCTAGTTCCTTGTAGGTATTTAAGAAAAATCATGCATGTTTCCTGGACGAGAAAGAAAATGTAAACTCATTTCGTAGTATCCTCTGAAATGTGACAACTCTGACGTAGTTTGATTTTAAAACCACTAATAATCCATTAACGAACTTCACAACAGGTGATTTACCACTTGTCCCCACGACCGACCAAATGACCACTACAGAAGCAATGGAAGAGCTATCCACTAGTGAACAAATGACCGACGTTGCAACAACAAGTGCCTTAGTCCAGCAAACATCCACAGGAGCAACACCTGGGCTATCAACTCCAACTACAACAAACGGAGAGGATAGAGTAGACGGTGGGATTGCAACAACAGACACAGTGATCGACCAGACATCCGTTACAGAAGCAGCTTCGGAGCTATCAACTGTTGAGCGAGTCACTAGCGTTATGTCAACGGATACCTCGATCGTCCAAACATCTACTGCAGCAAACGGAGGGGATGGAGGAGACGGAGGGATTGCAACCACAGACGCAATGAACGACCAGACCTCTACTGCAGACGGAGGGAATGGAGGGGACGATGGGGAGTCGTCCACTTCACCATCAATGGCTGTTACTGAAGGTAAGATATTAAATCCAGTTGCATGCCAGCTGGTTGTCGAGCCATTACAAGACCATCACTATTGCATTACAGTCACAAGCGACAAAACCAATATTTCTGCATTGATGGTTTCGATAACAACAGTACCTCATGAAAGTTATATGTAAAATTAATACAATTCAAGGTAGTCTATTGGTGCAAAAAACGTGGTAAACAGAGTAGGAATCAATTTCAAGTGCGCCTTTTTATATGAAATTTATTTGTTTGGCTAAAACTTTCAAAATAGCATTAAGCTTTTCTGTTGCCGAGTTATCTTTTTCTTATTCAGTAGTTACCTAAAGACATTCAGGCAAACCAAAAGACCTGTTGATGTACATTTTCCTGAATCGACCATTATATCTTGCCTTTTCTTTCAGCCGGAGGGACCGGAGGGGATGGAGGGAGAGGAGTGATTGCAACAACAGAAGCACCAATCGAACAACCGACGATGGAGTTCAGCTGTCAGTTACGGATTCTTGAACTGAACGGTGCACCTGCGGTCTTCAATTCTCGACTCGCAGACAGCAACTCGCAGGAGTTTCGTGATGTAGTGATCATTATTCGCCAGGCAGTAAGTACACAGTGCCCAAATATTAAATTTTGAATCTAACAGCTTGTGTCACGGTGAAGTCGATCAGAACATAGTCTGGTTACAATATATTCTTTTAGATTTCTCACTGATCTTATTTCAAAGGTTTCTGCCACAGGAGATCCGCCAAATGTCTATTGAACATTTATTTGATAGCACGCCCAAAAATGCTATTAACATTTGACGTTGCACTAGTTTTTGGCCTTTGTTTATTTTCAAGCATCGCGTTTTGAACCAAAGAGTCAAGGGGTGACATAAAATATGATTGTCTGCTATTGGCGTTATTCATGAGTCGGCCATATTAAAGTGAAAGCGAGGTAAAATCTTCATTTTTGGAACTTAAAGAGAGAAATGAAAGCAAGGCATAAAGTTAATTTCAAATTAATACCAGTCTGCTCTGATGAATAATTAAAAAATTGTGATGAAAAATACCCTAATGTTTTTAGCCACATTTAAAACAAAGTGAAAGTCGAGCTAGAATGCATAAACAGTCTGGCACCATCCCAATCAACAGTTCACAATTTATAAAATACATTCAGTGAACACGACCAAAAATTGCTTCCTCGTGACTAAGGTCCATTTGGGAACTTCAGAGAATTATACAAACTGCAGGGGATCCGTACGCACTATTACTTATCTCCAGTTGTTTAAGTAATGCTTAAAAACGTAGCCGAGCGGTTAGAGCGTGGAGCTACGGAGTGGAAGGTTGGCGGTTCAAATCCCATTCGGACCAAAAACTCTCTGATAACCCAACAGTAAAATGCGTACCTGATTCGTTCAGGGAAGGTAAGACGGCGAGAGGAGAGGACTGGGCCCCGCCACTCATATGCCGCGCCCAAGACGCAGCGGACCTCTAACATCCCACTGCCCCTACGGCCAGTAATGGCTATGGGATCTTTACCTTTGAGAACCAACATCTTACACCTCGAAGTTTCGTTCGCGTGGTAATTACGCAAACGCAGCACATTTTAAGTTATAATTGTGTGAACGTTCTTATTCTGATATGTAACGATCTTTCCAGTTGACATCATTTGGTAAAGAGGTCCCAGCACAAAATGGCGCTGTTTCACAAAGGTCTTCCTTTAAATATATAAAGTATAAGTTGTGAACATTTGCTGATTTTGTTGGTAGCTTTCACTTGTACAATTGTCTTTTCCCCAAGCATCGTCCCGTGAATATCTCTGTCTATATTGTTGTCATTTTAATATGATTACTTTTTCGCTTCATTGTCCCAAATTCTGTTGGTCAAGTTTGGACTATTTGCAGTAATTTGTTTCCTCTTATATATCATTTAGACTTTTAATTAGTTTCAGTAATGCAACATTTTTGTTTATAATTTTTATTTACTGTGCTTTTTGACGCATCATGATAGGTGATTGCAGCCCTTCGCAGGTCACCCAGGACATCCAATGTAGTGGATTATGTAGTGATCTCGGTTCGTGACGGGAGTTTGTTGGTGAATGGTGTGGCAAGATTCCCTCTCAACTCCGTCATCGAGAGTGCAACTATCAGAGAAGTGCTTCGCGACGACGCGATTGCCAATAACGGACAGATAGACAACTCACTCACCATTGATCCATCGGGCTTAGTCGTGACAGGTATGTATTAAATCGATTTGAGAGTGCACCTTGCCCATAAATGTTTTTTTTTTTTTTAAGCTAGGTCCAATTCATTCCCGAGCGAATATAATGGAAATATGCCACATCTTTGGGCGCGATAAAACAACGCAATTCTTGGGTGCAAGAAGTAAATGTCATATTAATTGAAGCCGTTATGCAACTTGAATTATACCTCAAAGTATTTTGTTTTTGATATATAAGTATTGCAACATGCGCAAACGTGCCTTAAATAAGCCGACTTGTGATTCATGTTCGTTTATTTTCAGCCCATAGTGTGGCATCACAACAGCGTTCTATTCGCTCCACGTATAGGCAATTCTGTTCCTGTTTAATTTCAGAGGTTTTCACCAGATATTTATCTAAAATGTCTTTCCTCAAAGGTCTGTTTTATGTTTGTGAGACAAAATGACATGGTGCATGTACGGAATCATTCATTTCATTACAAGATAAAAATATAGTAATGCAAAAACTATTGCATGAATGAATTGTCTAGGACTTGATCTGTACAAAATGCTAACTTCCAAATCCGTTTGCTCTGACGCAATAAACAAAATATAAACAACAATAGTTTGTTAGTTTAAAAGTACATGTAATTGTAAGTCAAATGGTGTCTTCTGAGTTCCTCTTTTCATGTTTGTATTTATAACACAGCCCGGACTGAAGCTTGTCCGGCATATCGCTGTCAAAATGGAGGCGATTGTACACGAACTGGAAGTTTCCCAGATTATGTGTATACGTGCGAGTAAGTTCTGCAAATCTTTTTTTTTAAATGAAAACGTCGTGCACTTGAAACTTAGATAATTTCTCTAATGGCTTGGTTATTATATATTCTTATGCTGTCACAAGTCTTCTGATATGATGTGAATTAAGCTGTAATTTGAACATCTCTTCAATTTCGAAGATTAATTAAAGATTATCTTACTAAGGTAAGAAAGTCACTGAGTTGAGGACAATTGAAAATGTTAAGGCAAATTAAACGAGTAAAAAAAAGATGCTTATTAATAGTTGTAATCATTAACTTACTCAAATTGTTATCATTTCTTAGGTGCCCGGATGGTTACACGGGAACCTCCTGCGAGGAAACAGGTGCGAAATGTGTGCCCAATAGGGCAAATGGCGAATGACAACAAGAGACACTCGCTTCAATATTGAATGTTTGCCAATAATAAATACCAATATGAATCAAATGGCCTTTTGTTCAACGGTTAAATTGTGGAATGTTTTGTTCATCTCGATAAGCGAGTTCGGTGTGAATAGGTTTAAACGACACAATTGACGACCCACGGACTGGCTTGTGAAAAGCATTGATACAATCCTGATGATTTTTCAATTCAAGGTCTCAAATTATTAATTTTTTTCGTTGCTCCATGCAATCTTTTATTTCCCAAAATAGAAAATTCACTTCCACTGATTGAAACTAGGGACGAGACGTTTTAGAGTGAAATACGTTCAATCGAGGACATGGTGTATTTATTCAGTAGCATTTAGGTTGCATAATGAATAGTAAGGGATGTTTATTCCGATTGATTTTATAAACCAGATGAACCTGGGAACGGAGGAATCATTGCCACTGTCACTACAGCCGGTGCACTCCTGTTATGCAGCATTGTTGTCATGCTATGCGCTTGCGTTATCAAGGCAGGTCGCTCTGCTTCTCAACGACGTAGACGTTTTGCACAACAGGTAAACTGGATATGGAGCTTCCATTGACAATATTTGGCACAGTAATGTTTACACAATCGACTGTAATTGAGGAACAATTAATAGCTTATGAAAGAATGTGTATTACAACTGATAATGTAGTAACCAACGGATAATGTATCACCAACCGATAATGTCACAAAAATTGACCGATACTGTACCACTAACCGATAATATAACAGAAATCGACCGAAAGTGTAGTAAAAATGTACTAACACTATCAGTCGATTGTTGTTACATTAGCGGTCAAGACAGTATCGGTAGGTGATACATTATCAGTTGGTTACTATATGATCAGTTGTAACAAATGTGCAAAGCCTGAAGGACTAAATACATCAATCATGGATTAATGTGCCATCTTTATTTAACATGTCATGATACAACTCGGTTATTGTATTATCACGCGCAAACAAGTATCAAGTCAGCCAAATTTTCTAGTACTTTGCTCTCAAGTCTGGCAAACGCTGAATGATAAAAGGGACCAATGTAGTTTCACTTTTTTTCAGTTATTACTTTTGCGACCGAAAGCCTTTGCAACATTTGTATTCTGTGCAACTTTTGTAAATCCCTACCATTTATTCCAAATAGGATATGGACCATGCCAGACAGCGTTATCGCTACGGAGTGAGGAATTGGACTCGTCCTGCTATCATGCCCCGCACCATCTCGGTAAGCATGATGTTAAATATTCACACAACAAGCCGAATCACAAAGGCCTTTGTTCATGTTCTAAAGGGAGTGCTCTCCAATTCATTTATGTAGTACTTTTCAAAGTCATTTCTTTGGTGAACTTAATTATGTACACAGAGTATTTTTCCGATCACAAAACTTTGAACTTTGAAGTAAGAACACTTACTTTTTTTTAATTAAGCACTATTTTTGTTATTAAGTGGCACTTACTAAGTGGTACTAACACTTTGTGTGCTGTTTGCCATGACAATGCAGGCAATGGACGATGGATCAATGGACGACGCACGCGCATTCTATGGGGCCTATGACTATAGTACTAACTATCGTAGAGAGGACGGCTTCTCGGGGCCTTACTCTCCATACATGATACCAGGCCCAGCACTGGTAAGTACACTTTGTTTTCTATTACAAATGCTTACCTCGCGGTGCCAACTTTCCAAATGCGTGTGTACTGTTTTACAACACGTAGTACATACAATCCTCTTGGCATTGCGAACAATATTACATCAGTTCTGAGTATATAGGGCCTAACCAAACCTTTAGTTTTTAGTGCAATGACTTTATATTTTGTTCTTTCCAAACAGATGCGCAGAATGGATCAAGAAATGATGAGAGACGATTTCTTATACTGAATATAGCCATAATGCAACTAAATACTACGTGTCAACCAAAAACATGTCCTACTTTTTTGATCATAAATAACTCTGTTGTTTACCAACAGAATCCAACCATTGTGATTTAGATCATGTAACAAGGCATGACACATTTTATGGAGTGAGTTTGATCAGCTTTGTGCAGGAGGGTGATATGTAAACGCCATACGAACAAAAATAATCACTTTCAGAATGTCGATACAGTGCTGTAGACGGTAGCGGATGGCGCCTGCTGCGGTCGAAATCTTCTGGTGGAATGCAGGATCACCCCTGATGTCTTTACACACCTCGATCGTGTGTTGCCCCAAACGATCGAGGAGGTGTGCAATGACATCATGGGTTATCGCGCATTCCTTCAGAAGCCTTCCGTCGCAGCACGCGCCTTCCACCAACGTCTCCAGCGGTGTATCGACGCTGGAGGACGCCAAGTCAAAAGTGGCAGATTCTGAAAGCGAGTATTTTTTTTTTGTGGCGTTTAAATCTCACCCCTTTGCACAAAGCTAATGAAACTCGCTCCGTAACATCTGCCATGCATTGGTTACATTATCTTAATCTTTTGTTTTATTTCATTGGTAAACAACAGAGTTATTTAGAATCAAGAGTAGGACTCGTTTGATTTTTCTTTGACAAGTAGAACTTCAGTAGTCTAAATGAAATGTATAAATGCTGCGGTGAGGCCCGGAACCTTGCGCTTGCTGGCTTGAATTTTAGCTCTTTTTTTTCTGTATTTTTTGCTCTTTTTTTCTGTTTAGTATTTTTGTCAAAGAAAACTATTTTGTATGACTTTTGTTGACTTGTGACTTCTAGTGGCTGTAGTATACTCGCCTTGTACTACCGGCTTAGCGAACTTAGGTTACGATCAGAAATTGATATTTTGAGCCGAAAATTGTTAACTGGTCAAACATATTACAAATGTAACAGTGCCACAATACAGTTCTATGGAGATTGTAACATCTTTTTTTTTTATCATATCTCACAATATAACATAATATTTTATAACCATTTCAATATCGTGTATTTACATTATGTTTTAACGTATATAGTGAAATTCGCAATCACATGATTAGATAGGGGATTGTGTATAATTACATGGTAGATATTGCATTTTAAGGAACCAACAAGATGCTGTTCAGGAAAGTTTTAAGTAATTATATCTGTGATTGTAACAGACGTATGCACACTATTCTATTACTTGGCAGCGTGATGGTTTTTATAATGATAACATTGAAGGTTTCAAATGTAATGAGTAAGTTTGCGGTGGCACCACGCGAGAAGAAACTATTGTGTGAGTTTGCGTGGTTTGGAAAAAAAACCCGGGGGAAACGCAACGTTTCGGACAAAATGCTCTGCTTGTCGTCAGGAGACAGGGATTTCAACGGTTGTTGGTAGTTATGTAGGAGAACTTACCCACCACAGTTGACATCTCTCAGTCTTACAACATAAATTACAATATTTTGTTACATTGTGTCGCACAATTATTGTGATCGCTGACATTATCGTGCAAACGTACAAATCCTACGAAAGGTAGTGTAATGAGCTTTATAAGAACAGTTGAATTTTGGCTTACTATAATCAAAATGAATGGTATATTGAAATTAACACAAAAGTTTGTAATAAATAATGTAATCATGGTTGTATATAGGTAAGATTGATTTTGTTCGTAAAAAAAATCACGTATAATGTTAAGACAGTTTGCCTCATTGCTTAACCGCATGAATTCGTTTAATTAAATTGAAAACTAAAACACCTAGCGTTCAGCTTTTGAACAAATTATAAACGCTCTTTAGCAACAATTTATAGTGTAGACACGTTATAAACATTTTAAAATGTTTTAACGAACATATGCCAGATTCTTTACTCAGATACCCATACATCACAAAGAGGGCCTGAAGTAGCCGATTTAATTATGCAGCTGCTTGTAACTGAAAAAGACTATTTCAAGCAAATTATTATTGTGCTTCTTAATTATGGCAGTACATCTGTAAAGTTTATTTGTAAAGTTTATTTGTAATATGCTTTATGCATAAAATCTTGCGAATACTATGGAGAATAGTTGTTTGCCTTATTGCTTAACTGAATGGTAAATGGTGGATATGAGTTAATCCATAAGTGTTTATAAATTGTAATCATGGTTGTATCGGAAACGTTATTTGTATATTATTGTTAACACGTTTAAATGCCTAGGATATTCGTTGTTTGCCGTATTGCTTAATCGCATGCATTCGTTTAATATATACACTATACAATCTGGTGTTTAACGTTTTAACACATTATCAGCACTTTTTGGCAACAATGTATTAACATTTGAACACGTTTAATGGGTGAGACTCAATTTACTATACGGTTAAAGGCATACTACGTTAGATTTCTCAGATTCATGATTCAGTTATTCATGTTTCAGAAATACAACCGTAACAAATCCGCTTCACGTTTTACAGCCTCTACAACTGACATTTGTCTGTCGGAAACCAAAATTAAATGTTCCATCAACGTTATGAACGCATTGTTAATGGTGCTGTTTAGAAACACTCAACATCTTGTTTAACTTACAAACGCTGGTGTTTTGGGTTCAAAAACGCGTTCAGCGTTTATTGTTTTAAAGTGTGGCACTCAACTTAGAAACATTTTAAAAACACGAACGTTTAGAAGTCAAACAAAATGTCGTGTTCCTAAACAGCGCCGTATAATTAGGCATTTCCATGGCAGTTATAACGTAAACATAAGTGTGGGTCTCTGTATTCATACTTATTTGTAAGATACTGTAGTATGTAAAGTGTTGTTAAACAGTTTAACTAATTATTAACGTAGACGATACTGATATAGCCTCATTGCTTGATTGCGTGTATTCATAGATAACACGGTGAATATTAATGAACTTTTTATGATACTCTCTATGTATTCTATTTTAAATCATTAACGTACACATTGCTTGTTAGCCTCATTGCTTGACCGCGTGAATTCATAGATAACATGGTGAATATTAATGTACTTTTATGATACTCTCTATGTATACTATTTTAAATCATTACCATAGACAATGCTTGTTAGCCTCATTGCTTGACCGCGTGTATTCATAGATAACATGGTGAATATTAAGGTACTTTTATGCTTCTATACTATTTTAAATCATTACCGTAGACAATGCTTGTTAGCCTCATTGATTGACCGCGTGTATTCATAGATAACATGGTGAATATTAAGGTACTTTTATGATACTCTCTATGTATACTATTTTAAATCATTACCGTAGACAATGCTTATTAGCCTAATTGATTGACCGCGTGTATTCATAGATAACATGGTGAATATTAATGTACTTTTATGATACTCTCTATGTAAACTATTTTAAATCATTACCGTAGACAATGTTTGTTAGCCTCATTGCTTGACCGCGTGTATTCATAGATAACATGGTGAATATTAAGGTACTTTTTTATGATACTCTCTATGTAAACTATTTTAAATCATTACCTTAGACAATGCTTATTAGCCTAATTGATTGACCGCTTGTATTCATAGATAACATGGTGAATATTAATGTACTCTGATGATACTCTCTATGTATACTATTTTAAATCATTACCGTAGACATTGCTTGTTAGCCTCATTGCTTGACCGCGTGAATTCATAGATAACATGGTGAATATTAAGGTACTTTTATGATACTCTCTATGTATACTATTTTAAATCATTAACGTAGACAATGCTTGTTAGCCTCATTGCTTAACCGCGTGAATTCATAGATAACATGGTGAATATTAAGGTACTTTTATGATACTTTATGTATATTGATTTAATTATTAACGTAGACAACGTTTGTTAGCTTCATTGCTTGGCAACGTGAATTCAAGATAACATGGTGAACATTATTGTACTTTTATGATACTCTATGGGCTCAGTGCACCAACAAAGGATGGCGCTTTTTTCCACTTTGAAAGCCCCATGGAAAGGACTTAACGCGTGTGCGTACTGATTCGAGCGTGTACAGCGTGAAGTATGCACGACCTATTGTGTTATGAATGTGCACAAAGACGCGCGTCTTCGGGTGAGCGTTGGGCGTCGTCGAAAATGTGTTTTGAATGTCACGATGTTTGCGATCTCCACCAACTCGCCCTTTCTCGCCGATGAGGGGGCGCTTGTGCACGGAGCCAATTTGTATAATGTTGTTAGGAATTAATTTACTTAGACAATAGTTGTTCGCACTATTTCTTAGCCTCGTGATTTTATAGTAACAGGTTGAAATATTTCAATGTACTGAAAATTGTGAAACTTTGGTTATGGATTATTACGAAATAAAATCGGTGGTATACGGTGAAATGTGTGGTGGACCTAGAACTGAATATGAAAAGCGCTCTCTAGAATACATGCATCCCACGCTGAATAAAGTGAACAAAAATTCTGGGCTTTTTAGCGGAAAATCATCCAATAGGCGCAGGCTAGGCGGGATTATACGTCATACGGTGAAACATCCACTCACTTGTACACCAGTTTTCATCCGTTGCTATGTGCTACCATTTCTCCAGACTCAAGAACAATTCAAGTTCAAGAGCCAGTGCATTCTCTTGACTCGGATTGTAATTTTGATAATCTAATTTCAAATCATTCAATGATCTTTCAACCTGTGGGAAATCTTGCACGGTAGTGGCTGAAAATAGTGCCCATGCATCTTTCTTTTTTCTTGTTAGTGTTTGCATCCTTATACTTAGCATCAATAATATATGTTAATTCCTCATACTTGTTTGCCGTAAAGAGTTAGAGCTCTGCTTGAGAATAATTTGCCTTCCTTGCCCTTTTTACTTTATATGCAATTGCTAGAGAACTTGATGTTGATTCACTTACTTGCAGTACACTTTACCACATATAGACCGTGGTCCCTTTTTCCTATTTTTGTTTTGCTAATCCACGCAAGTGCTGGACATGATTAGCTTAATACACCTGTTACACTATTGTATCTGTTTTCATCACATTCCATACATGCCAGCTCCATCCAAAGCACCCAATTTCAGTTATTCAGGTATGCAACTAAATCCCTTAGTATGTAACTAGTTAGCAAGGTTCTTTGTAAGGTTTCATGAATAACAATTAAGTTATCAAATAGTTGGCGCTATAATTAAGTATAGGGCATTAATGGTTTGTT